TCCCAAGTATCGTCCTCAAGCTCTATGCCACTGATCTCCTGTAGAGCCATGCCAGGCACTGTACACTGATCCTTCACCATAGAGTTGGAGGCATCCTTATCTTCAGACCCTGGGAAGATAGAGATAGGTAATCTTTGAGTCTGACCACCTCACTTAACAAATGAGGATGGTAGAGCCAGAAAGTACAAGACTCACTTGAGCCCATAAATGTTAGAAAGGGGGCATAGGAGAACACATGCTTTCTGACCCCTGAGATAATTAATTACTAAACCAATTAAATAATGAATTCAATAATTGTGGTTGCTACTATTTATTGAATTTATACTACAAGGCCAGCACTGCTCTCAAGCATCTAACATACTTTAAATTCATTTAATCCTCCTGACTGTCCCATACAGTCTGAACACCGCTTTCTTGAATTCAAGGCCCTGCTCCACTATGTACTATGTGATCTTAGTTGGGCAAGTTACTGTTCTCATGCCTCAGTTTCCTTATCTCTGAATTGTATATTATGATATCTTATAACATTATTATGGATATGTTAAGGCATTGATAGTTTTATAACACAATAGTGATATATGAGTTAAATGTGTTTAATTTGTGTATTAAATAAAAGAATTGCTGTAGATCCAAATTGTCACTCTCATTATACAGAAGAGGAAATCTGAGCCTCAGAATCAGGGCACCCACACTATGCCTTCCTCCAAGCATTTCCAGCGTGCTAGCCTATTTAACTCTCACATGCCAGCAATATAGCTAAGACGTGGGTGTCTCTCCATTTGATAGACAAGGAAACAGATGCAGAGGAGTTGAAGATGTACTTAAAGCCAACAGAGGCTGCGTGGTGACCATGAGAAAGCCCAGCTAGTGATCAAGAAATGTGGCTTCTGGCTTCCGTTCTACCATCTGTAATGGTTGTTGGGCCTCTGACAAGCTTCTCAATGTCTCTGGTCTTCAATATCCCTATATTTCCATGAAGAACTAGGTTAAGGATTCTGGGCTGGATGTGGTGGCTCACACCTGTAATCTCAGCACTTTGGGAGACTGAGGCAGGAGGATTGCTTGAGCTCAGGTGTTCAAGACCAGCCTAGGCAACATAGAAAGGCTTAGTCTCTACAATAAAGCAAAAAATTAGCCGGGCATTGTGGCACATGCCTATAGTCCCAGCTACTTGAGAGGCTGAGCAACAGGATTATCTGAACTCAGAAGGTGAGCCATGATCATGCCACAGCACACCAGCCTGGGTGACAGAGTGAGACCCCGCCTCAAATAATAATAAAAATTCTGTATGCCACCTTGTAACTCAGTAACTGAATATCCTATCTGGAACCCACATCCCTATCCCTGAGTAAGGTATAAGGATGCACCGACAAGGGATAAACCTCAATTTTTTCATTACTCATAAGCAAGGACCGCAGCAGAATAGAAAGTCTCAGCCATTGAAATACATGCACAGTAATCTGGGCCCTGGGAATTTCCTGGTATGTCTCCAGAACTTTCAGATAAACCAAAGAAGACAAGAAAAATGCCTAATGAAACTAATACCCTTAAGTGATGTCATGGAGTGAGCAGGGAATCAGCCGAGGAAGATGCCCTAGAGCATGGATGAACAAATACATTAATATTATCCATCAGACAGGCCCAGGGGAGTAGTTGAGAGACTCTGGGAAGAATAACTGCAATAAAGGGAGGAGACCCAGTTCAACCTGGGGTATGGGTTAGGTGGGTTCGGTGCAGGTCCACTATTTGTAGTTGTTCAAGTTTTAAAATGCACACCTGCACAGCCCTGGGACAATGGATTTAGGCTTTCAGGAACAATGATTCTGTCTTTTTTTGGTTACCAGGACCATCCCCAAAAGACAGCAGCCAACATTCGAGGGGATTTTTGGCTCTTGGGAGACCAGGGAATCAAGGATGAAGATGGCTATTTCCAGTTCATGGGGCGGAAAGATGATATCATTAATGCCAGCGGGTGAGCTTGGTTTCTAGGCTGGGAAGGGTAATCTTGATCTTTGTTTTGGTTAATTCTAGACTTTGGGGATGGTCTAGAGTCTGTGTGTCCATTCCTCTCTGAAGAATAGGTTCTTCTGCAGGTACCGAATTGCACCCTCAGAGGTGGAGAATGCACTGATGGAACACCCTGCTGTGGTCGAGACAGCTGTGATCGGCAGCCCAGACCCTGTACGAGGAGAGGTAATGGCGAAGTTGAAGCCTGGGGGTGTACAGATATGAACTTAAGGACAGTGTCGTAGGGTGGTTAAGAGCAGGGACTTTGGAACTGGACAGCCTAGATCCAAATCCTGTCCCAGTCATTTATTAGCTAAGTGACCTTGGGTCATCTTCTTAGCTTGCCTGTTCTTCAGTCTCCCCATCTGTAAGATGAGGGGTTATTATGATAGTTAAATGCACTAATATCTACATCTAAAGTGCTTGGAATAAGCCCTAGCACGTATCAAGCGCCCATATAAGATCTATTATCATGAGGGTGGAGGGATTCCATCCAGCTCTTTTCTATTTAAATCAGAATCTGATTCCTGACTAGGAGAACAGAGGAGGAATTTGAACCAAGGGATAGAGCTTCTGAGCCTTGGGGTTCACAGTGAAAATATGAGGAAGAAGAAAGACCCCTAACATGCCAGAGTTATAGGAATAGGCCCAGATGGAATCTGATGGAGTTCCTTGTGCGTGTAGAGAAAGGTGAAGGTGAGAGATGTGGATTAATGTCCTAGTACATTTCCGCAGTATGCAAATCTGGCAATATATATATTCTGGCAGGGATGAAACAATCCCACAGAAAACCATGGGAGCCACTGGACAAGTGAGGTCGAAAGGGTTTTCTCTACTGAGAAAATCCCATGTGCCCAGCTCTAAGCTAAACTCTGCTGCATATGATTTCATTTTATTTCCCATAAATTAAACATGACAATTTATCTCCATTTTACTGGTGGGTAAGCTGACGTTTGGAGAGATTAAACAAATCATTTGGGATTCTGGTTCCCAGTCTTTGTTTTCCTCTCTTCTCTTCTCTCCCTGTATCTACTTTCTGCTCATCATTCTCTATTGTCCCTTGGGTGTAAAATGAGTCTGATCTCAATCTATTGTCTAGCTGCTCATCCAATAAAACCACTGAGAGAGAGAGCTGGAGCCACAGCCATTTGTGTCCTCAGTTTCTCCCTTTCTCTTGGGCCAGATATTGCAAGGTATGATTGAGGATCATATAAAGGTGATGTTTGTAGTAGAAGTCTTAACACTGATTTTGCACTATCCCAGGAGAGGACTACACTCTCTAATTCCTTCTCTCTTGGCCCTCATATCCTCGCTGCAGGTAATGAAGGCATTTGTGGTTCTGGCCCCACAGTTCCTGTCCCATGACCCGGATAAGCTCACCAAGGAGCTGCAGCAGCATGTGATGTCAGTGACAGCTCCATACAAGTACCCAAGGAAGGTAAAGCCTCTGAGCTCCTATGTCCTTAGAATTTGGGAAAGAAGTGAAAGCACTCCTGCCATATTTCTCTTCTTCAGGATGAGGTCTAGGGCTGTAATTCTGAAATTCTTCCTATGCCCAAGAAAGCCCAAAATGACAATCCAGTGACTATCTTGATGTCTGAAATATTATCTCACCCTTTGACTCACTCTGAATTAAAAGTCAGTTGATCCCAAAGGAACAAATTCTTGCCAGTACCTGGCCTTTAGGCTCACTTTCTGCACTGATATCTTGCTATAATATTTAGTGTTATGCAACTCTGAGTTGCAAGTAACAAAAAATCTGACTTGAAATGTATTGTTCATGCAACTGAAAAGTCTGGATGTGTGTAAAGCTTTCATCATGGGTGATCCCAGGCATTTATATCATATGGCCAGGGGTCTCTCTTTCACCGCTTGGGTCTCCTTCCTTTGTATTGGCTTTATTTCTTGAAATAGGTTCTCTTTGTGGCCCCATCATTTCCAAATATGCATTCTTAGCAGCTTAGCAAACTCCAGTAAAAATAAATCAAGTTTTCCCCAAAACCTAGGCAAAAGTCTCCTGGTTAACTCTCAGCAGACCAACTTAGGCCATGTGCCCATTATTAAGCCAATCCCTGTAACCAAAAAAGCAGAACACTCTGATTGGCCAGTTTAGGGTCATGTAGTCACTCTTGGAGAAAGTACAGAAAGGATGGGAGAGTGAGGGCTGCTATATACCATGACTAAGTAGACTAAGTGAGGGAAGGACTCCTAATTGGAAAGATGAAAGTGCTCCTACCAGAAAAGACAAAAAGGATAGAATCCATTCCACCTGTTTTCAGCTGTTTTCACTCAGGGATAGGGAGCTTAGGCTTGGAGGTTGACATGGCAGGAGAACCTGGCTGTTGGATTTGGATACCAGACAGGAGCTTGTCCCAGGGAAAGAAAAAAGTACCTGAAATCTGGGGTAGAAGGTGGGAGTAACTATGTTAAGCTTAGAACTCCTCAGATTCTTATATAACCCGAATTTCCTCTGGCCTTTCCTTAGCACATGCTCATTGTCTTAAGTGGGGTTCTTGAGAAGCAGACCCTTAATATTAGCATGCAAGAGGTTTATCAGCGAGTTTGGGGCTCAATGTCTGGGAAAAAGAAGGGGAAAGGGAAGGGAAAGAAAAGGAACAGGATTAGGTGGAGGGTGAAGTTGCATTGAGAATTCTGAAGCTAGGACAACCTTTCAGTGTTGTCCTGAAGCAGGGTAAGAAGAAGGGGGTCTTTTTAGCCCTGTGTAGAGCAGGCATGTTTACAGGTTGCTCTGGACAAGATCACTGCATTCTGCTGAGGCAATCCTGCATAAGATAGCTGCATTCTGCTGAGGCAATCCTCAGAGGGGTCTGGCAGTGGGGAATAAGTACCACATTTCTGAAGGGGAGTCTCAGCTGTATATCAAAGAGACCACCCCATGAACTTTCAGCCTCAAACTGACAGTGAGGCAGCATAGCATCCTCTTGGGAGTCAGGCTGTCGTTTTTAAAATCTACTTCCATCCTTTACTCAATCCCCTCTCTGTCCCCCAGTTTCTTTTTTGTAAAATGGGAATAATGATGTTACCCCGTCACAGGTTAAGGATGAGTTGATATTTGTAAAGCATTCGACACTTAGAGGAATGACTGGCACCTAATAAGTGTTTAATAAATATTTTCAAATGAGGCTAGAAATCCAATCACACCAAGCATGAGTTTTGATTTTTTTTTTTTTTTTTGAGTTGTAGTCTCACTCTGTTACCCAGACTGGAGTGCAGTGGCCGCTTCCGGCCACCGCAGCCTCAACCTGCTGGGATCCAGCGATCCTTCCGCCTCAAAAGTCTCCTGGTTAATTCTCAGCAGACCAACTTAGGCCATATGGCCATTGTTACTCCGGCTTCCGAGTAGCCGGAATTACAGGCGCGCTCTACCACGCCCAGCTGATTTTTTGATTATTGTACAGATGAGGTCTCACCTGCCCAAGCGGGTCTCGAACCCGCGGGCTCAGGCAATCCACTCACCTCAGGCTCCCAAAAGCGCAGGGTTACAGGCTGAGCCACGGAACCCGGCAGAATTTTGATTTTTAACATGATACTTCAGATGATCAAGTGGAGGGGACCTATTGCACTGTATACAGTGTATTACTCAAATAACCTCAGTAGAGGTGTCTCTTTCCACAAGTCACTCCTCTAGAAATCCCAAGACACCAGATTCTTTCTGTCTTTTCCCCTTTCCACCCACCACACTCAGTCTCATCTGCTCCTTTCTGCATAACAAGCAGATTAGCATCCTTCTTAGAATTGAAACAGAACTCCCCCATTCCTTGACTTCCTTCTACTCTCTATCTAACTCTCAGAGGCAAAATTGTAAATATTTCAGGCCACGTGGTCTTTGTTGTAATTATACCACTTCACACTTTACCCCTGCATAGTTAAGCATCCGGAAACTAATCCCAAATGAATTGCTGTGACTCTGTTCCAATAAACTTTACTTATCAAAGCAGGAAGTGGGTTGTATTTCACCCACAGTTTATAGTTTGCCAATCCCTGTTTCATCCCATTGGGGCTTAAACAAACTTTTTCTCAACAAAGTTAGTCTTGCCTTTAGGAAGAATCTCACACCAGTTGCTAAGAAGATACTTTTACCTTTTACTATCCCTATTGTTATTATTTTTATTAAACCTAAGACCATCTGAAGCCTAGACCAGTGCCACAGCAAGCTAAACCATATAGCTAGAAGCCTCAATGAATGATCTTCATCGTCCATATCTTAGGATTCAGGAATATTAGAGATGAAGGGTCCTTAACTTCAAATATTCCTTTTAACAGTTGAGAATAATGACATTGAAGAGATTTTGTAGTTTTTCCGAGGGTACATTAACAGGACATTAGTGAGGTAGAATTCAAAACTGGGTATTCTAACTCTCAGATGTCTACTCTCTCCATTTCAGATTAATAACCACAGCTAAGATTTTTGTGTGCTGACTCCATACCAAGAACTTAGCTTGTATAATCTCTTTTTGTCCCCACACAATATTTTTATTATCTCCCAGCTTACTCAGTGGGGAAATTGAGCCTTAGCAAAAGCATAGGAGTTATCCAAAGCTAGATAACTGATAGATGAGGGACTGCGACCTAGAGAGCATGATGCTGAGACTTAGGTGTCTGACCACCAAGCTATGTTATTAATGTTTTCATTATGCTGCTTTTTCTCTGTCTTAGAGTTTGTCAAAGACCAGTTGACTAGACCATTATGCTCAGTTCTAGCTGCCTCTTCTCATCCTTGCTCCAGAGCACTTTCTGAAGCTTCTTATTTCGTAGCAAGCATCCCTAAAGATCCTCCAGCCTCAATAACTTTTCCTCCCTGGGTGCGGTGGCTCAAGCCTATAATCCCAGCGCTTTGGGAGTTGGAGGCAAGAGAATTATCTGAGTCCAGGAGTTCGAGACTACCCTGAGCAACACCGCAAGACCTCATCTGTACAATAAATCAAAAAATTAGCCGCACGTGGTGGCACATGCCTGCGATTCCAGTTACTTGAAAGGTTGAGGCAGAAGGATCCCGTAAGGCCAGTAGGTCAAGGCTGTGGTGGCCATGAATGTGCCACTGCACTCCAGCCTGGGTGACAGAGTAAGACTCCAACTCAAAAAATAAAAAAATTAAAAAAAAAATTTTCCTCAAACTAGAGCAGATCCTCTGAAAAATCCAACCCCATTGTGATCATGGATGACCCACCTTGGTCTGATTTTTTCCAACAGGTGGAGTTTGTCTTGGACCTACCCAAGGCTGTCACATGGAAAATTGAGCAAACCAAGCTTTGAGACAAGGGGTGGAAGATGTTTAGGCAAGCCCAGGCCCAATGATACGTCCACGAGGCTCTCGTTTGGACTCTTCTTTTTTATCATGTCTTTCCTTCTGGGTTCTTGGCCTTCCTGTCAGGATACTAGATTCTTTCTGAAAGGGCATGCATGTGATTTTTGTCTTTTCTCAGTTATTAGCCCCAGACATTGACATGCTCAATGTCAAAGGAAGAAAGAGAGGAAGGGAATGAGAGGGAAAAAGGAAGATAGTAAAAAAATGAGGAAGGAAAAATAAGTCAGAGAAAGATAAAACAACAAAGCGAAGCAATTGAAAAAAATAAAGTAGGGAAGCATGGAGTGAGAAAGGAAAAGGAAATGGAGGGAAGAAAAAAGAAAGGTTGGTATTAAAGGGATGAAAAAAGATAGAAAATAACTGACTGGAGAATAAGAATACAAAAAAGAGAAGAGAAAGAAAGAGGCAAGGAAGAAGGAGAATGAAGAAGGAAGAGAAAAAAGATCAATAAAATAGTGAGATAAATTGATAAAGAAAAATGATGGACAAAAGGATGTATGAAAGAGGGAAGAAAGGAGGGAAACTAAATAAGTGCTCCTACAGAGACACAGATTGACAGAATGACAGGGAGTCAAGCAGAAAGCTGAAGCTTGAGAAAGAAATGAAAGGTCATGGCGCCCTTTTTTATCTCCAGGATAAGACCTCCATAGAGTGAGATATTTGTGGGGTTGGGGCATTAGTGCCATCCTCAAGTCTGTCATGACCAGGTAGGGGAATCACCATTTATCAAGCATTTGTTATGTGCTAGTAATTGCCTTAGGTATATTATAAACAGCATCTTGTTTTTCTCTGTGTGGCATCTTCAGCTCTCACATCATAATTGTGAAAACAATGTAAGCACCTCAAAAGTTGTCATTTCCCATCGCTCGTGTTTTTGGTGTTATCTACTGTTCTTAGAATCAAGTAATAAAATCATTTTAAAAGCAAGATCCTGAGGATGTCTTTGAAGAAAACAAAAAGAGGAAAGAAATAAGGTGAGTGCATGCCTCCAATAGCTTGTGGGTTTGGAAATCCATGGAGATAGACTGAACAGGTGAAGCTGTTGAAGAATCAACCGGTGCCTCAGCTTCTGGGGCTGCTGGGACACCAGATTCATGAGTGTGGGAGAGGGA